TGATTTGTGTATGTTGAACAAAACTTGCATCCTGTGGATGAAGCCAACTTGGTCATGGTGGATAAGTTTTCTGATGTGCTGCTGTATTTGATTTGCCAGTATTTTACTAAGGATTTTTGCATTGTTGTTCATCAAGGATATTGGCCTTAAGTTTCCTTTTATTGTTGTATCTCTGCCAGGTTTGGTGTCAGGATGATGTTGGTCTCATAGAATAAGTTAGATAGAAGTCCCCTCATTTTAATTTTTTGGAATAGTGTCAGTACAAATGATACCATCTCTTTTTTGTACCTCTGGTAGGATTCAGCTGTGAATATGTCTGATCCTGGGCTTTTTTTGCTTGGTAGGATATTTATTGCTGCCTCGATTTCAGAACTCATTATTGTTCTGTTCTGGGATTCAATTCCTTCCTGGTTCAGTATTGAGAGGCTGTATGTGTTCAGGAATTTAATAATTTCTTCTATATTTTCTAGTTCATGTACCTAAAGGTGTTTATAGTATTCTCTGATGGTTGTTTGCATTTCTGTGGTGTCAGTGATGCTATCTCCCTTATCCTTTCTCTTTATTTGATTCTTCTCTCTTTTCTTCTTTATTATTCTAGATAGCAGTCTATCTGTATTATTAATTATTTCAAAAGAAAACATAGCTCTTGGATTTACTGATTTTTGGAAACGTTTTCTGTGTCACTATCCCTTTCAACTCAGCTCTGATCTTGGTTATTTTTTGTCTTCTGATGTCTTTGGAGTTTATTTTCTCTTGGTTCTCTGGTTCCTTTAATTGCGATGTTAGGTTGTTAATGAGATCTTTCTAATTTCGTGATATGTACATTTTGTGCTTTAAATTTTCCTCTTAACACTGCTTTAGATACATCTCAGAGATTCTGGTATGTTGTATCTTTGTTCTCATTTGTTTCAAAGAACTTCTTGATTGCTGTCTTAATTTCATTCTTTACTGGAGTCATTCAGTAGAAGGTTGCTCAACTTTCACGTAGTTGTTTGGTTTGACTGAATTTCTTAATCTTGAGTTTTAATTTGATTGTACTGTGGTCTGAGAGACTGTTATTATCTCAGTTACTTTGCATTTGCTAAGAATTCTTTTACTTCCAATATGTGATCAATTTTAGAGGAAGTGCCATGAGGCAATAAGAAAAATATATATTCTGTTGCTTTTGAGTGGAGAGTTCTGTAGATATCTATCAGGTCTACTTGATTCAGAGCTAAGTTCAGGTCCTGAGTATCTTGGTTAATTTTCTGTCTCGATGATCTGTTTAATATTGTCACTGTGGTGTTAAAGTCTTCCACTATTACTGTGTGGGGGTCTAAGTCTCTTTGAAGGTCTTTAAGAACTTGCTTTATGAATCTGTACTCCTTATTGGGTGCATATATATTTAGGATAGATAGCTCTTCTTCTTGAATTGAACTTTTTACCATTATGAAATGCCCTTCTTTGTATTTTTTTCTCTTCTTTTCTTTTCTTTCTTTTTTCTGAGACGGAGTTTTGCTCTTATTACCCAGGCTGGAGTGCAGTGGTGCAATCTCAGTTCACTGCAACCTCATCTCCTGGGTTCAAGCAATTCTCCTACCTCAGTCTCCTGAGTAGCTGGGACTACAGGCTGCGCCATAATGCCCAGCTAAGTTTTGTATTTTTAGAAGAGACGGGGTTTCACCATATTGACCAGGATGGTCTCAATCTTTTGACATAGTGACCCACCCACCTCGGCCTCCCAAAGAGCTGGGATTACAGGCATGAGCCACCGTGCTCAGCCTGTATTTTTTTCTTACTGCATTTTAGGTTTGGGGGTACATGTGAAGAACATGCAAGATTGTTGTATAGGTACACACATGGCAGTGTGATTCACTGCCATCCTCCCCATCACCCATATCTGGCATTTCTCCCCATGCTATCTCTCCCCAACTACCTACCCCTCATTGCCCCTCCCCTATCTCCCACCGACAGACCCCAGTGTGTGATGCTCCCTTCTCTGTGTCCATATATTCTCATTGTTCAACACCCACCAATAAGTGAGAACATGCAGTGTTTGATTTTCTGTTTTAGTGTCAGTTTGCTGAGAATGATGGTTTCCAGTTCTTCCATGTTCCTACAAAGTACATGAACTTATCGTTTTTTATGGCTGCATAGTATTCCATGGTGTATATGTGCCACATTTTCACTGTCCAGTCTATCACTGATGGGCATTTGGATTGGCTCCAGGTCTTTGCTATTGTAAACAGTGCTGCAATGAACATTCATGTGCATGTGTCCTCAGAATAGAAAGATTTACAATCTTTTGGATATATACCCAGTAATGGGATTGCTGGGTCAAATGGAATTTCTATTTCTAGGTCCTTGAGGAATCACCACACTGTCTTCCACAATGTTTGAACTAATTTACACTCCCACCAACAGTGTAAAAGTGTTCCTATTTCTCCACATCCTCTCCAGCATCTGTTGTCTCTAGATTTTTTGATGATCATTATTCTAACTGGCATAAAATGGTATCTCAGTGTAGATTTGGTTTGCATTTCTCTAATGACCAGTGATGATGAGCATTTTTCATATGTTTGCTGCTCTCATATATCTTCTTTTTCAAAGTGTCTGTTCATATCTTTGCCCATGTTTGAATGGGCTTATTTTTTTTCTTGTAAATCTGTTTTAGTTCTTTGCAGATTCTGGATATTAGCCCATTGCCTGATAGGTAGATTGCAAAAAAAATTTTTTCCCATTTTGTTGGTTGCTGATTCACTCTAATGACTGTTTCTTTTGCTGTGCAGAAGCTGTGGAGTTTGATTAAGTCCCATTTGTCTATTTTGGTTTTTGTTGCCAATGCTTTTTCTGTTTTGGTCATGAAGTCCTTGCCTATGCTTATGTCCTGAATGGTTTTGCCTAGATTTTCTTCTAGGGTTTTATGGTGTTAGGTCTTATGTTTAAGTCTTTAATCCATCTGGAGTTAATTTTAGTGTAAGGTGTCAGGAAGGGGTCCAGCTTCTGCTTTCTGCACATGGCTAGTCAGTTTTCCCAACACAATTTATTAAACAAGAAATCCTTTCCCCATTGCCTGTTTGTGTCAGGTGTGTCAAGATAATAGGGAACATGATAAGACCAGTGAAAAGAAGTATATAAGCATGAGCTTATTACCATACTTCTTTTGTTGTGAAGTTGACTAGGTTCTTTGGTCAGAAGCAGTGCTGTGTGGATACCATGATGGTGATTAAGGCATTCTGTAAGTCCATGGATGGTAGTTCTGGCAGAAACATTAAATGTATGGAAAGCAAATCCACATCCAGTGTAAGTGTCTATTACAGTAAGGATGAAATACTGTTTCTTCCATAATAGAAGCAGTCAAGTGTAATCAACTTGCCAACAAGTAGATGCCTGATTACTCTGGAAATGTTATTATATCAGAGGTATTTGTTTTTGTTGCTGACAGACTGGGGACTCAGTGGTGGCCTTAGCCAAGTCGGCCTTGGTGAGCTGCATTCCGTATTGCTGACCTAATGCATAATCTTCATCCTTTTCACCAACACCAACATTGTTTATGAGCCCATGAGGCAATGATAGGAGTGGCTGGAGATAGATGCTTATGGGTATTTAAAAATGAGTCATTCTATCTACTTGATTACTGAAATTATCCTCTAATGAGATCACACTTTTGTAAGCATTCATATGGGCCTCATCCTCACATTCTTTGCCAATTTTGAGAGATTTATCCATGTACTTATTCCCCACATTTCTTTGTCAGCAATTTCTCAATTATATACCTTACAAGTTCTCGATTATCTCACCAAACCATTGACTATAGCCCATTAATTGCTATGTAATTACACATCTGGCCATTTATCCTTTCGAGCAAAGTTAACAACCAAATACAATGCTGTGTTCAAGTTTCTGCCCACTGGGAAGATTTTTTTTTTACCATTGTCTTTCAGGAATGTCCCAGAAAGGGGCTGTTATGCTCCAGCTGTTCACTTTTGAATGGCGCATGTGTGTCATGAAGAACCATCTGTAATCTAGGCCTGAGTCTTCTCTTCTTTTGTCACTAATCCTAGGGTACTCCCATGAGGCCACAGGTATAAACTGAGAGAGAGAAGACAGCACAGCAGGAGTAGAAACCATGGTATTAGCTCCACTTTTTTATATAACTTACTTGTGCTTCCAGAACATGTTAGCAGCTGATCACAAATATACCACTTCCATTTTATGGTGGAATGCTGCTGTGCATGTTCAACTCTAGGGCTCGGTGGGTAAGACAATACTCCATTGATGATAGGCAGCCCAGGTCACATAGTAACTTGGTGACTTATGATTGAGCATTTAGTTTCTCTTCAGACCCAGTAGAGGCCAATAGTAATCTCCCAAAGGAGAGTAGTTATTTGTGGATTATGGCACTGCCTTGCTCCAAAATTCTGAAGGCCTGCACTGAAAATTATGTATAACAGCCTGCCACCTAATCCAAATATCATTTCTGGTTTTATTTTTCTGTTTATTGTTGGACAACATTGTTTCACACATACATCAAACAGGCCAAAAAACATAAACAGCATCTTCATAGATAAAAAAAGGAAGGAAAGGAAACCTTTTAATCTTTGGCCTTTTAACCATCTTATACAAACCACCAATTTATAGTACAGCTAAGTACATACACAACAAAGGTACTGGAATGCTCAGAATACCGTTGTTTTTCTGTTGTTTTTGCTTTTTTTTTTTTTGCAAGGTTTTTATTCTCCTTTGAGATTATAATGAACATGGTCACACCACAAGTAAAGTCAGAAGTAGGACAGAGAACACTCCGAAGGCTGGTTTGGTCATCCAAGATCATTAAAAATGGCTGGACCCTAACAATATGTACAAAATATAAAATGTAAATAAAAAATACAAACAAATTTCCTTTTTAAACTACTTTTAAGAAAAAAAACAGGGCCTTGGAAGTTTTGGTTCTTTATTCCTTTCCTGTTGCAAATTCTCATGGTTTGGGTTGAGTAGTGGAGAGCACGTCGTGTCATCTGTGCACCGCCCGCGGAGGGTGGGCAGACCAGCCAAGCTCTCTACTCAAAGGTGACCATGTTTAGATTCTGAGACGGGAAGTGGAGGGTGAATAGGTCACGGCAGCCTTTTTGTTGTTGTTGTTTTTAGTTTAACGTTTCCTTTTTTGCTGTCTAATCATCCTCGTCAGTCTTCTGTTGCTTGGTATCGACATTGTCATCCTCATCATCTTCAGCTGCCCGCTTGCCCATAGCAGACTCAGCTTCTTCATCTTCATCTCCATCCTCCTCCTCACCATCACCTTCTTCTTCCTCTCCACCTTCTTCCTCTTCTTCATCTACCTCATTGTCAGCCTCCTGCTCCCCATTTTCCTCATTCTCATTCCCATTAGCAGGGACGTCTCTTCCATTTTCCGCCTCTTCCACAACTTCCTTCTTATCCTTCAAGTCCTTGGTGGTGATTTCGGAGATGGTGTCTACCACTGCGTCTGACATGGTGGGGCACTCCAGTGATCTGATTTGGGGGATTAAAAAGAAAGCTAGAGGGGCCGGGCGTGGTGGTTCATTCCTGTAATCCCAGCACTTTAGGAGGCTGAGGTGGGCTGATCACGAGGTCAAGAGATGGAGGCCATCCTGGCCATGGTGAAACCCCATCTCTACTAAAAACACAAAAATTAGCCAGGCATGGTGGCACACGCCTGTGGTCCCAGCTACTCGGGAGGCTGAGGCAGAAGAATCGCTTGAACAGGAGGCGGACGTTGCAGTGAGCTGAGACTGCGCCACTGCACTCCAGCCTAGTGACAGAGCAAGACTCAATCTCAAAAAAAAAAAAAAAAAAAGGAAACGAGAGTTCAGGGACTCTGGTGATAAAGATACCGTTCTCCGCAATGGCGAAGGAGGCACGCAGCAGAGTCAGCTGCAACAAGCAAGGAGTGGGATGAAGAACAATGCAAACATGGCTTTTCAGAGCAGCCAGTGGGGGCTCCAAATATAATTTCTATCTGCTACTGACACCTCAGACACCATTGCATCTGCTGTATATTATAACTCATGTGGAAGAGCAATTTGGAGGGCAGCCTGATGACATTGGAGAACCTTCTCCTGTTCTGGGGACCACTCAAAACTAGCATGTATTTAGGTCACTAGTAGGTTTTTGGGTCACTCCATAAATGAGCCAGAATAATAAAACCAAATTTGGAATTTGTAACTTCTAAAATCCAAATAATCCCACTAGAAGTTATGCTTCTTTCTCAGTTGCAGGATGGGCCAGATGCAACAATGTATTCTTTACCTTAGAAGAAATATCTTGACATGCCTTGCACCACTGAATCCCAAGAAATTTGACTTGGGTAGAAGGAAAAATTCATTTCCTACCCTCTTCATGCAAATGTCTTACCAGTAAGTCTAGAGTCATTGCTACTTTTTGCTCCTATGTCCAATCAGTGTAAGATCGTGAGTGTAATGGATCAGTGTGGTATCTTGTGGAAAAAAAAAAGAAATCAAGGTCTCTGCAAACTAAATTAGGACAGAGGACTAGGGAGTTGATACACTCCTGAAGTAGAACAGTAAAGTTATATTGCTGGCCTTGCCAGCTGAAAGAAAGCTGCTTCTTGTGGGTCTTATGGAGATATATGGAGAAAAAGGCATTTGCCAAGTTATTAGCTGCATACCAGGTACCAGGATATGTGTTTGTTTGCTCTTGCAATAAAACCATATTTGGTACAGAAGCATGAATTTGACTTACCACTTGTTTAAAGTGTACCAATTCACTGTATTAGTCCATTGTCATGGTGCTGGTAAAGACATACCCAAGACAGGGCAATTTACAGAAGAAAGAGGTTTAATGGACTTACAGTTCCATGTGGCTGGGCAGGAGCCACAATCATGCTAGAAGGTGAAAGCCATGTCTCACATGGTGGCAGACAAGAGAAGAAAGAATTTGTTCAGGAAAATGCCCATTTTTAAAACCATCAGATCTCATGAGACTTATTCACTATAATGAGAACAGCATGGGACAGACCTGCCCCCATGATTCAATTACCTCCCACCAGGTTCCTCTCATGAAAATGTGAAAGTGACTTTGGAACTGGGTAACAGGCAGAGATTGGAACAGTTTGAAGAGCTCAGAAGAAGACAGGAAAATGTGGAAAAGTTTGGAACTTCCTAGAGACTGAATAAACTCTATGCTGATCTCTCTCCCTATCACCTCTTTAGGCAAATAACTTAGATTTACCCTTTTGCAGCTATCTTCTATATCTTGTTGCCATACTTTATTCTTTTTTATTATTTTTTCTTTTATCTCCTCTGACTGTGTATACTCAGCTTGTTGTCTTCGAGTTTACTAATTCTTTTTTTCTGCTTTATCAGTTCTGCTGTTGAGAGATTGATGCATTCTTCAGTATGCCAATTGAATTTTTCAGCTCCAGGATTTTTTCTTAGTTTTTTTAAATTTTTCAATTCTTTTTTTGGGGGGGAGGGGAGGAAGGCAGGAAGGAAGGGAATAAGGACGGTAGGGAGGAAGGAAGGGAGGAAGGAAGGAAGGAAGGGAGGAAGCAGGGAGGGAGGGAGGGAGGGAGGGAAGGAAGGGAAGAAAGGAAATCAAGCAATGAAAGAGACATTGCCGACCTGGATCTAGAGGTTTACAAGTTGATTTCTTTTTTTTTTGAGAGAAGGAAAGAAAAAAAAGAATAAGTAAAGGAGAGGAAGAAAGAGGAAGAGAAAGAGGGAGAGTAAATGGAAATATTGCTTTATTTTGAAAAAAAATTGGGTATTAATAATGGCCAATCAATGTTTCATTTAAACTTATGGGTAGGTGTGATGTGGTATTGACAAGAATGTATATTTTGTGTATTTGAAGTGGAGCGCTCTATAAATATTTATTAAGTTTACTTGTTCTGGATCTGAGTTCGAGTCCTTGATATCCTTATTAATTTTCTGTCTCATTGAATCTAAGTCTCCTATCTGGGTGTTAGGATCGTTACCTCTTGTTGTTGTATTGATCCTTTTACCACTATATCTTTGTTGCTTTAAAATCTATTTTATCCGATACGAGAATTGCAACTCCTGCTTTTTATTTATTTATTATTTGTTTTTGCTCTCCATTTGGTTGGTAAATCTTTCTCCATCCCTTTGTTTTGAGTCTTTGTGTATCCTTGCATGTGAAACAGGTCTGGATGTAACATGCCGTTGGGTTTTGGCTGTGTCTTTTGATTGGGAATTCAGTCAATTTAAATTTAGGGTTACTGCCATTTGATGTTGACTGGCTGTTTTATCCATTTGTTGGTGTAAATTCTTCTTTATGTTGGTGCTCTTTACTTTTTGGTGTATTTTTAGAAAGGCTAATACTGGTTGTTTCTTTCCGTGTGTAATGCTTCCAGAAGCTCTTGTAAAGCAGGCCTGGTGGTAATAAAATCTCTGAGTTCTTGCTTGTTCATAAAAGATTTTATTTTTCCTTCAGTTGTGAAGCTTAGTTTGGCTGGATATGAAATTCTGGGCTTAAGGTTCTGTTCTTTGAGGATGTTGAATATTGGCCCCCACTCTCTTCTGGCCTGTAGAGTTTCTGCCGAGAGATCTGCTGTAAGTCTGATAGGCTTGCCTTTGTGGGTAATCTGACCTTTCTCTCTGGCTGCCCTTAGTATCCTCTCCTTCGTTTCAACCCTGGTGAATCTAACGATTATGTGCCTTGGGGTTGCTCTTCTTGAGGAATATCTTTGTGGTGTTCTCTGTATTACCTGGGGTTGAATGTTGACCTGCTTTGCTAGTTTAGGAAAATTTTCCTGAATAATATCCTGAAGGGTATTTTCCAGCTTGGATTCATTCTCTCCGTCACATTCAGGTACACCTATCAAACGTAAATTTGGTCTTTTCACATAGTCCCACATTTCTTGGAGACTTTGCTCATTCCTTTTTATCCTTTTTTTTCTAATCTTTTCTTCACGTTTTATTTCATTAAGTTGGACTTTGACCTCTGATATCCCTTCTTCTGCTTGAACAATTCGAGTGTTTAAACCTGTGCATACTTCTCGGAGTTCCTGTATTGTATTCGTCAGTTCCATTAATTCACTCATACTCCTCTCTAAGTTGTCTATTCTCAATAGGATTTCATCAAACCTTTTTCAAAGTTCCTAGTTTCTTTACGTTGGGCTACAACATGTTCTTTTAACTCACCGAAGTTTGTTATTATCCATTCCTTGAAGAGTGATTCTGTCATCAGGAGGCGCTCGTTCTCCATCAAGCCTTGTTCCATTGTTGATGTGGAACTGTGATCACCTTTAGAGGGAGAGGCGTTCTGACTTTGAGTATTCTCAGCTTTTTTACGCTGGTTTCTTCCCATCATTGTAAATTTATCCTCCTGTCGTCTTTGAAATTACCAACTTTCAGATTAGGTCTCTTGAGTGGACGTCCAGGTTGTTAGTTCCCAGGGCCAGAGCAGCAGCGTTAAAACTGATGGTGCTTTTCTGCCCAGGATTCTCCTGTCTGGCTTCCTTCTTGTTTCCGTAGTAGGCGACTCTGCCTTCCCGGGGCTCCAAACCTCGGTCAGAAGGGGAACCGGTCCCGTTTACTCTGCGCCGAGCGCTGCCACGTCGAGGTGCCGGCGGAACCGCTGCGCCGACCACGAGAGTCGCGCTGGCGACTCGTGTGTTTCCACCACTGGGGGATCTTCTGCTCCGTGAGCGACCAGACTTTGTCTGAAAGTGTGGCGTCCTCTAGTTCTCCGTGCCTTCCCTGAGAGCTGCAATCCTGGGATGTTAGCAATTGGCCATCTTGGTTCGTTCTCCAATTTTTCAATTCTTTGTTAAATTTAACTGATAGAATTCTGAATTCCTTCTCTGTGTTATTTGTAATTTCATCAAGCTTCCTCAAAATAAGTATTTTGAATACTCTTTCTGAAAGATCACATGTCTGTGTCTCTGAAATTGGTTGCTGGTGCCTTATTTAGGTCATTGGTGAATTCATATTTTCCTGGATTGTCTTGATGCTTGAGGATGTTCTTTGATGTCTGGGCATTGAAGACTTAGGTATTTATTGTAATCTTCAGTTTTGGTTTATTTATACTTATCCTTCTTGAGAAGGTTTTCAGGTATTCAAGGAATTGAATGTTGTGATCCGAGTCTTTTGTCACTGTAGCCTTGGTTGTCTCATGTAAGAGTCAAGAGAATTCCCTGGATTATCAGGCAGAGTCTCTTGTTCACTTCCTTTATTTTCCCCCAAACAAAATTAAGTATCTCTTTCCATACTGAGCTGCCTGGAGTTAGAGGTAGATTTACATAAACACTTCTAATTCCACTACCACTGAGACTGAGCTGGGTCAGACCTGAAGCAGGCACAATATTGGGTCTCACCCATGTCCTCTGGCAACTCTTGCCTGGCTACATCTGATTTTGATTCAAGGCACAGGGGTCTTCAGTCAGCAGGTGGTGAATCCAGCCAGGTTCATGTCTTTTCCTTCTGGATGGCATGTTCTGTTAATGGCCCAGAGTGGGTCTAGAAATGCTATCTGAGAGCTAGGGCCAGGAGTCAGGAATTTTAGAAATCTGCTTGTTGCTTTATTTTACTGTTGCTAAG